GTACTAATTATTAGAATGAATAATCGATAATGTAAAATAGGAATAAAAGGTCCAAAGGGGTAGGGGTAGTGGGAGGCACAGGGGAAAGGAAAGAAGGGAAAGGAAAAAATGACGAGAAATGGAAAAAATGGAAATAAAGTCTTTGTAAATACGGAAGGGTTGGAGGGCGTGAAGGGAGGGCTAGGAAAAATAAATAAATAAAAAAAATAAAGAGTATTATGGTTTGTCCTCATCCACCTTGTTTGTCTAATCTAGTATTGTGCCACTTCTGGCTGTTTCCCAAAGTCAAAATGATTGTGAAAGGTAAACGTTTTGAATCAATTCAAGACATCAAGGCAGCCATAACAGTGCAACTAAAGACACCCACAAATGGGGACCTCCAGAATGGCTTCTGGAAGTGACAAGAATGATGGGATGTGTGTGAAGTGAGAGAAAGCATTTTGAGGGAGATTAATGGAAATACAATAATTTTTTAAAAATTAGACATTGATCTTACTCTTTAGCATACCTCTAAGTTCTAGCACCCTTCAGCACAGTAGGTTGACTCTGGTTTACAACTCATTATGTATTTTGTGCAGAACTAGAAGACAGGACTTCAAAAGTTCTAAACATGGGCCGGGGATTTAGCTCAGTGGTTTTGCTGCCTGCTGTGCAAGCACAAGGACCTGAGTTTGATCCCCGGTACCAAAAAAAAAAAAAATTCCAAACATGAAGAAATTATAGAAATGTTAATTATCCTGATTTGATCATTACAGATTGTACTGACTTATCATCCTGTACACCATGTTTATGATAATTATGTATCATTAAAAAGAAAAAGAAAAACTAGAAAAAAATAGTGAGAAAGTGTGAGAAAGAAAAGTGGTGCATGATGCCCTTAAGGCCCTAGCTCCACTCTCTGTGGCTCTCCTATCCCTTCCATGCGCTGGCTCCTCTCAGACTGGGTCTGAGCAATGTCAAAGAACAGACGTGAGTGGAACGAAGACACTGGTGTGCAGGAGACTGATTGCCACAGCTGAGGACACCAACTGTTAAATTTTCAGAAATTTTGTGAGCCAGTTTCTAAACCAGTTGTTCTGGAAACTAGACATGGGAAAGCATTTACAAAATGGAAATAAGGAGTAATGAGGTTAGGATTTCAGAGCTGCTTTCTGTTCAGAGAAAAAATATTTCTGATGTGCTAAACAAACCTTTGGAGGTAAATTAGCAGCAGAATGTATTTAGCCATTGCTGTCCCTCACCTTCAGACAAGTATCTATAGCATCATAATACATTTTTATATCTTTGGATTGTATAATATTTTTGTATATTTAAAACTGAAATAAAAGAGATTTTGGAGATGGAAAGTTCTGTGTGATGGTACTTCTACACTGTGAAGGCCATGGATGCTGAAGTAGAGAGGGAAAACAGTCCTTTGAATTCAGTGGCCCTTGTGCTGTGTCTTGTAGCCTCGGTGCTGGCGATGGCAGGACACAGGATGGAGTGAAGCACCCGTCTCCAATGAAATGTTGAAGGGGCAAGGGGGCCAGTTCACAACACTACCAGAGCAGAGCAGAAACTAAGTGAATAAGCCAAAGATTACTCAGACTTCTGGTTGTCCCTCGACAGCCATTCTCCAAAGATGGTAACCTCTGAGGGTTGTGTTTCTGGCCAAAATAGGATGTGAAATGCTGTGTTAGTCAGTGTATTAGTCACTTTCCCATCATTGGGACAGAATACTGGACAACTGTAACTTAAGGGAGAGGTTGTTTTCTGGGTTTTGATGTTGTTGTTCTGGTACCGAGATCAAACTCAGGACCTTGCACTTTCGAGGCAGGTGAGGCACCACTGAGCTAAATCCCCAGCCTGGGAGAGGTCTGTTTTTGCTCATAGTTTCAGTGGGCTCAGTCCGTGGTGGGTTGGCTCAGAGACAGAAACAGCATGGGAAAAGGGCACAGTTGAGGAAAACTTTTCAAGCCATGGTGGCCAGAAAGGAAAGAAAGAAGGGAGGAGTGGAGATAAGAATATACTCTTCCATTGACCTACCTCTGCCGACTGACCAGGCCCCACCTCCTAACAGCACATTCAACCGTAAACTGATCAATGGATTAATCTGAATATAGTGTCCCCATGACCCAATCACCCCCCCAAACCCCACCCTTGGGGCCAGGGATTTAGCTCAGTGGTTCTGCTGCCTGCCTTGCAAGCACAAGAACCCGAGTTTGATCACTGGTGCCCCCCCCCCAAAAAAACAGCCCTCAAAACCCCACCCTTGAACACATAGCATTTTGGGGGGACCTTTTAGACATAACCCAAAACAAATGCCAAGGCCACACTTAAGCTAAACACTTAAGCTCAAGAAAGGTATTTTCTCTTGCCATGACCTGTAAATGACCTATTTTAGAATTTTAGAACCTGCTCCAGGGACATATTTCTTGGCCTGACTGGAGCATATGTTCCATGTCAGGCACTACAAGGGGGACTGGACACACCAATGAAGGGCACCAGGCTCACATCCAACAGTCACAGAGTAGGTCCCCAAACAGGCATTTCTTCAGAACCCTGCTACTTTGAAAAACACAGTTTAAAGATAATTCATTGAATTACTCCTCAATCTGTATAAAGGAATCTGCCCTTTCCATTAAGTTTTAGACATTGCCTTCTTCCTTTGTTTATTGCCTACTACTTTGTTTCCCACCCATACTAGAACAGAAGCACTATGCAAGTAGAGTCCACTGCATCTCGAGCCCTGCACACACCTGCAGAACACAGCATACATACTTGGAGAAAGAATTCATTGGCAGGTGTCAGTTTTGTATGCAAATATCCTTACTTGTAATAAAAAGCTGCCAGTTCCAAATAGCTCTTCTTTTTAACGTATTGTTAAGTCTGGGAGTGTGGTAATGCATGAACTGGCCTTGGCCCCCATAAGTCATAGCTATTGTTAAGAGTGAAAGAGGAAGAGAGGGACAGTGGATGAATGTGGGTGGGTGGGTGAATGTGGGTGGGTGGGTGAATGTGAGTGAATGGATGAGCGAGAGGGTGGGTCTGCTCTGGGAAAGCAACCCCAACCTGCTGTGTAAGGTGACCTGCAGGAGGTGGCCAGGACTGGATTCCCTAGGCTGCCCACCTTGCAAAGGAATCCTTCATGGAGACAGAGCGCGGTAGGCTGTGGCTCTGTCCCAAGTTGGGGCAGCAGGTCCCCAGTGGCCCCTACAACACACACCTCACTCTTCAGGACCCCAGGCCGAGCCCCCACCAGCCACGAGCTCAGGCGCGCGCTCGGGTGGGCCCCAGGGCCAGTGCGCGTGCGCACAGGTGCACGGCCGGCCGCCCCGCCCTGGGCTTGGCCACCTGCCCGGGAAACCTGTGGTTGGTTGTTGCTCTCGGGTCGTTCCTGGGCGGGGACACAGAACCGGGCCATGGAAGAGACGTCGGGGGCTCGTGAGCCCCGGGCCCGGCCGAGAGAGCGAGACCCGGAGCGGCGCCCTCGCCCGGATCGAGAGCGCCACTCCGAGCGACCGCGGGACAGAGCCGGGGACCGGCGCAGGGAGAGGAACGGGGACCGGCGAGGGGACCGGGACAGGAGAAGGGACCGAGACCCCCTCCAGGACCGACGCCGGGACGCCGGCCATCGTGCAGGTGAACCAAGAGTCTGGGAAAAGTCCCGCGGAACCCAGAGGCTGGAGGAACCCCGGGGAACAACCTGGGACGCAGCCCCGCCCCCCTGGCCCGCGCCCTGGGAAACCCCGGAGCCGCCGCCCCCGAGGAAGGAGAGGTTCGCGCGCCACGGACCCGAAAGGTGAGAGGGTGAGGGGGTGAGGGGTGAGGGATGAGGGGGGCTCCGGGGTCTGAGAGCTCTGGGTGAAGAAGGTCCTGGCGCTGCCCTGGTCCCCTGCTACTTGTCCTAGGCAGCTGCTTTAAAGGAAGAAATGTCATTTCTCCTGTGTGCGCTCTCGAAGATGACCCAGGAGGGAAAGAAAACCTAATGGTTTCCCCAACTGTGGCCTGAACCCGATTAACAAAGCAAAAACCGCTCCTCTTGTAGTGGCAGGATCTGGGGACCTGATCATGAGAAAGCGGTCCAAAGGGAAAGAGAGTAGGTGAGGTGGGTGGAGCTAGCCTGAGGCTCCTCCCTGGCTCTCCCCCACGTGGTCACAGGCCTGTCCCTTAGGGCGGCAGACCCTTGTCCTGTGTTCCAGAATCAGCCCAGCGAAGCATTAATAGAGTAATGTGTTGTCCTTCCCGGGCCCATAAGCACTTCAAAAATAGCTGGGAGAAGCTACATTCTTACCTGATAAACAAACTAAGCCTACCAACACTTCTCCCACTGAAGACTGAGATCTGTCTCCCCTTTGTGGCTGAGGTCTTTCTAGGCAGCCTCTTTTAAATCCCACGATTGTTTGAGATCTCACCCTGATGAATAAACAAACTTCATGTCTCTGCCTTGAAAAGCACAGAATTCCCATAAACCCTGTGAGAAGAAAGCATCCAGATGTTCTGGACGGCTTTGTGAGCTAGGGGAGTGTAGGTGTAGAAGGGAGACAGGGTGGCCTGGACCCCACACCCCTCCTAGGGTGCTAACATTAGGTCCAGTTCCACAGATACTGCTGAATGTGCAGATTATGTGTCAGGCCCGGTGGACTGAATAGATGGGGTGTCACCCCTGCCCACCCCACCAAGGAGACAGGTCCTGGGGCCTTTTGCCTTTTGGCCTTCCTGTGGGACCTGGGAGGTTGAGCAGTCTTTCCCAGTTGTGACCACACACCGGGAAAGCTACTATCCTAAGTTTATGTTATATTATCTAAAACCAATGAGCAGGACAAAGGGTGTGCCAGATACGATACTGTGGCTAAAGCCACATCACACTGCAGCTACAACTCTTGATTGCAGGAAGTCAAGAGCTACATTTGTAGGTTTCCTTATAAACTAGAGACCCAGTTCCCCTACCCTACTCCATCCCACCCCACAGTAAGTGAAGGAAATACTTTTGTTTTTTGCTTCTTTTTCTCACAAGTTGAAGGTTTGAAACCAGAACATAATTTATTTCTGTCTCTTCTCCACTTAAACATTTATTTAATGGTCAGGATGCAGAGATGGGGCTACAGAATGGGCCAGGCGCAGTATAGTATGAAGGGAGCCACTTCAGGAGGAACTTGGAAAGAACAGAGCTAGGCTCCTGACCAGGCTCAGGTGAGCTACTAGACCTCCAGCTGAGCTCTGGAGAAGGGGTAGGAAGAGAAGGCTGGAAGAGGCTGATGAAGGTGTTCCAGGCTGACCACTAGCTCTGCAGTGATCCAAAATCATGACAGAGCCCACCAAGTTTGGGTGAAGGGAAATTCACCATAGCTGGGTCTGTGATTTTGAGGTTGTGAGTGTAGAAAGATGTGAAAGGGCCCCCTCTGAGGAGTTGAGTGTTAAGACTTTCAAACCTAAGAGAGCATGATGACTACTACATTGTAGAAAGATCCCTGAAGCCTAGCAAGTGGAATGCAGCCTTCCATTGAATCTTGGACAAAGACCGCTATGTGCTAAATAAAGTGGGGAGAGAAGAAACTGAAAGTACCAAGGATAGTAGAGGAAGAGATGATCAGAAGATCTCAAAGGTTGTCTCTATTTCCACATGCCTGGAGAATTCCAAAGTAAGAAGGGACAAATGAGAATGCCAACTCGGGTGGGAGTCAGGGTCTTCTGAATACAACAGGTTTTAAAGACTTGGTCCATGCTACACTGACAACTTAAGCTCCCGAAGAAGATAGCTCACAGCTGCCTGGATAGACAGCTACTTGGTTAGTCAGTCCAGCAAGCAGGCAAACAAAGTGGCATCAAAGGTGGTGGTGCTCGGGCACCTGGGATTACAGGATCTGTCATGGGTTACTTAGCAGAGTTGGACCACATGCTTAGATATCCTGTGGGTCCCTAAACCAGAGTTGTCTGGAGTCTAAAATCCTGTGTCAACATTTGTGTCTGTTCTGTGCATTCTGTAATGTTTTGGCCTATCACCGAGTCACACATTCTAATACTAAGCCACTGAATTGGAAACCTATTTCTAATGACCACATATGATTTCCAGTTATAGTGAACCCACTTCTGGGAGATATGTGCCCTCGAACCCCAGGCCTGGACCAGAGGAAGTGGAATATTACCAGTCAGAGGCCGAAGGACTTCTGGAATGCCACAAATGCAGATACTTGTGCACTGGGAGAGGTAAGCCTTGATTCAATCAGTGTGACCATTTGCCATGGTCAAAACCATGCGAGTGGTTCTAGAAAATGGGGGGATGGGAGGTTCTGAGTTGGTGAACCAAAATTAAGCAGACTTACTTTTTGGGGTTCCTAGCATTTTCATTTCATATTTACATGAGGTTCTTACCTTCCAAAAAAAAGGAAGGTCTACAAGGTGCTGCTAGATTTCCTGAGCTCTTTGGCCTGCAGCACCGTGCTTGCAGCTTTCAGACCCTGGTAGAACTGGGCTTTCAGTTGTTGGCAAGGGGGCTCCGCTGGCACAGCGGGCTGAGTTTGAAGAGAGGGAAAATCACCTAGTAGGAACCCAGTTTGCCGCACAAGCCACATGGACAGGAGCAGATGGTCTCCTTGGGGACCTGATGTCCAAACACTTGATCGGTGACTTTTAAACTTCATTGACTGAGATGGCCAGGAAGAAATAAATATATGTCACATTAAGGCCAAGTTCAGACACACACAGCAACAAAAATGTCATGAAACTATATTTACCCTAGTATGTACCAAGTACACCATTTCCTGTTTCATTAAAAACAAAAAGCAAAACAAAAAAACAAAACCAATTTATTGTGTACCCACAGCCTGAAAAACACTTAGACAATCTTATGTGTCAGCTCCAAATGTGGCTTCCCAGGGTTCTCATCTTAGCACAGGCCCTGGCCTTGCCAGCAATGAAGAAAATCTGGTTTGTCAGGGTGAGTCCTAATGGCGCATGAGATTTGTGAGAAATCTTCCTAGGCTGCACATGACTAAGGGAGAAAACACTCCAGCCTAAGGGGGGGAAATCATGCAACTCATAACTGAAAATGTACCTTAGGGTGATTACAAAGATTTACATGATTATAGGATTATAAGAAACTTAGATGAAAAGGCCCTAGGTAATCTAGGCACGAGGATCATTCCCCTAGTTTAAATGTGTTGGCCCAATCTCATTGCGTTAATTCTCTCAACAACTCCTGAGGCTCACAGAGGTACTGTGAATTATCCAAAGTCGAGCTGTTAAATTAAGTGAAAAGCTGGAATTGAAACACTGAGGTCTGAAATGGTTTCGTTGCTTGACCTTTCTTCTCCCAGATGATATAAATATCAGGAAAAAGCCAGCACTGGCTAACAGGCTACCTCCCTAGAGAGACTTTTTTTTTCCTTCTTTCTGTGATTGATTTACAAAGGGAAGAGGGCAGGGCTTGGGGCTTCTGATTGAGACATTGTAATCCAGCCTTGATTGCTTCTGGCTATTTGGCTTTGACCCTGAAGGTTGTGTTTCTAAATCCAGGTAGTGAAAGGATGGTTCAGCCCTCAGAAGCTAACAAATTTGACCTTATAAAGAACCACTGGATGTGCAGAGGCCAGTATGAACACAGTATAGCATTGCGTCAGGAGAAACAGCCACTGCACACCAAGACCTTGTCTCAAGCAGGAAATGCATGACTGGATAAAGGTCACCCAAAGCGTTTTAGACCCACCTTAGATTGAATCATTTGTTACTTCTTTCTTTGCCAAAGAAATCAATACACACACACACACACACACACACACACACAGAGCAAACTTGTAAAAGTAGGATGTGGCTGTGACCCTCTCTAGCTTCCTAGGAAGACCCTGAAGTCTGGGCTGTGATTCGCCCTTAGAAAGTTCAGGGGACCCAGGCATGGTGGCAGAACCCTGTAGTCCCGGCTCTTGGGAGGCTGAAGCAGGAGGATCACCATGAGCTCAAGGACAGCCTGGGCTACATAGTAAGACCCTGTCTCAGAAGAAAAAAAGTTAATTCAGGGAAACACCGAGGGGACCAGAAGAAAGAGAAGGGCCCCAGATTCACTTTTACAGGCAAGAATTCTCAGATGCTCAAATCTTGAGGGCCAGGGGCTAAAGATCAGCGTGAGAGCAAGTACAGATGTCACATGCACGTATCAGCCACCAGGGAATCCTGTGTACATTTAGGTTGTGGTCTCTTATTATTTGGAGGCGCAGGTGAGGAGTTACAAGTTCCCTAGTAAGAAGGTGCCTTTCCTGGTTCCCCTTTTAGCATTTGAAGCAGCTTCTTCCCCCCTTGCCTTAGATTTTAGTGCTCAAATCATGGCAGTTTGCATTCAGCTAGCCTTGACTGCCAAGCATCATTAAAAGTTAATTTTAAAGCCAGGTATGATGGCGCATGCCTGTAATCCCAGCACTCTGGGTGGCTGAGGCAGGAGGATCACAAATTCAGACCCAGACTGGCAACTTAACAAGACCTTGTCTTAAAATTTAAAAATTAAGAAAGAGCTAGGGATGTAGTTCAGTGTGGAGATCCTGAATTCAATCCTCCATGCTATAAAAAAAAAAAAAAAAAAAGTTTAAATTTTTTCCCAAGAGAGTTGTACCTTCCTTAGCCAGCAGAGCTGGTGTCTCACTTCTCAGAAGCTTAAGATACAGGCTGTGAGGGTATTCCGAGTTCATGTTTCAGAGTGGCTGTGCCCTGACAAGGGAGGGGCCTCACCCTGCAGCCAGGAAGGCAGAGACAGTGACTCCCCACTGCCAGTGACATTTACAGGGTGGGAAGATGGCTGTGGTCTTTCCTAATTTATATTCTCAATCCTTCTCTAACACTCATGCCACACCCTAGTGCAGCACCTGCCTGGCTGAGAGTGTCAAGCTCTCAAACTGCAGCTGACTGCTAGTGTTAACCAAGCCAGAGGCAGAGAGTGAGTGATAAGAGCTGCTGAGCCTTAGGACAGAGAGGGGCTGACTCAGAAGCACATCCCTTCAAGGCCTGGGAAGGCTCATCTGGAAGCCTGTGGGTCCTCGTGTTAAGGACACCACTGGCCACCTCCATGGCCCTGCTGATTCTTCTACGGTTCTGCTAAACCTAAAAGAGGAAGAAATGGCTTGGCAGAGCTGTAGTCCTTAAGAAATTCTCTCTCTGGGAATGATGATGCATATCTATAATCCCAGCTATTTAGTCTGTGACAGGAGAAACCCAAGTTTGAGGCCAGCCTGGGCAACTTAGTGGAGACCCTGTTTTAAAATAAAATTTTTTTAAAGGCCTAAGGGTGTAACTCTTGCTAGGCTCAATGTCCCATACTGAAAACAAAAAAATCTGTCATATAGCAATACATTGGGAAAGCTTAAATATCCCTCACATTGGAATGGTTTTAATTCATTTGTGGCAATGTATACATCCTTTGAAGTTATGAAGCAGATACATATTTACTGAGATAGAAAAATATTCTCACTGTATTCTTAAGTGAAAAAAATAGCTTATGTAATAGTAGGTAGACTAAGGTCCTGTTCTTACCTAAAAGCAAGCAAACAATAAAAACTATGAATCTATCGTAGAAAAGTCCAGAAAAATAATGTACACAGTGATTACTTTTTATTGGATGTATTATAGACCACTTTCACATAGTACGTTTCTTTTTTCCTTTTTCCTTTTTTTTTTACAATAAGTGTAAATTGTATAACTAAAGCAAACAGTGACACTGTTTACATTAGGGGAGAGTGACAGTGTGTGAAGGTGGTATTTATGGGAGCATCATTTCAGTTGGCTAGTGTAGAGCCATATCACAGGACACACACCAGCAGGATGAGGGTAGAACATCTGCTTACCAGAAAGGTTGGGAAGGCTGACAGGTGGATCTGAGCCTGCTGGCCTGGCAGCAGCATTCCAGCAGATGCACTGTACAGCTCGGAAGCACCAACTTCCTATTATGCTGGACAAAAGAAGCCAGGCACAAAAAGAGACTGGGATTACAGGAGGAAACTCATTTCTAATGCAAGCTGATCAGAGGTTGCCAGGGGAAGGTGAGGGACTGACCACAAATGGTTACTAGGAAAATCCAAATGTTCTATATCTTTATTACAGTTACATGACATTTGCCAAAATTAATCAATCCTTACAATAAGTATGGGATATTTTGTTGTGTAGAAAGCTGACTTGAAGGAAAGCAGACAGCTTTCCAAGACAAGGAAGCCAAGGCCCCTGAAAGAATCCAGTTCTGGGAAAATATTCTAGCCCAGATAGCATCTTAAGGGAAACTAAAGAAAATAAAGTTAAACTTTGAGTTAAAGTGGACAACAGAGAAATAAATATGTTTCTTTATTGCAATAAGTGTTATGGGTTTAAAGAACTTAATCTTTCCTATTTCTAGTACTCAAACTACAGTCTTTTTTTCTTTTTCTTTTTTTTTTTTTTTTTGGTGCTGGAGACCAAACTAGGGTCTCATGCACGCTAAGCAGGCACTTGCATTGAACTACACCTCTGGCCACATAGTCAACATTTTAATGTATTACTTCCTTGCTTTAATTACTTCATGTTTCTTAAGTTCTATGATTTTCTTCAAACTTAAAGAAATCTCCTCTTATAAATTCAAAGAGCCATCAGAGATATAAAGAGATTGGTTTTTGGTCTTTTGAGCCTTGGGAGGGTGTGGATTGTTCCTGCCCTTCTGTGTAGGATCCCCTTCTTTCTGACTGGCCTGATTTCTCCCACCCTCTTTCTGACTGACCTCTCCTGGGGAAGGCTGATTTGCTCTTTCCTGAGTTACCCTTTTAAATCCAAAGTATTTCTGACACCATTTCTGGAGACCACAGTTCCCTGTTACCACCTGATGCTAATTACGTAGCTTTTTCTGCCCAAGTGGGCAGAATAAAGAGCCAGTTGTTTGCCTGCATGGGGAAGATTAACCTCAAGGTGGATGAGTCTGCAAGTGCAAAACAGCACCTTGTGAAGTGGTAACTCACCCTCTCTTTGCAGCCTGCTGCCAGATGCTGGAGGTTCTGCTAAACTTGCTGATCCTGGCCTGCAGCTCTGTGTCTTACGGTTCCACAGGGGGCTACACAGGCATCACCAGCCTGGGGGGCATTTACTACTACCAGTATGGAGGGGCCTACAGTGGCTTCAATGGCGCTGACGGGGAGAAGGCCAAGCAGCTGGATGTCCAGTTCTACCAGCTCAAGCTGCCCATGGTCACTGCGGCAATGGCCTACAGT